TGAATGAATCATATTAGAGTTACACAATAGAGCCTAATTGTCACCTTCTTCATCGCTTATCACAAGCGTTTAGCATAATTTTCTACCGTCTCCTACCGATTTCAGCCCCATGCACGAGTCCTACTTCAACAGCTGAGTCCATCGGCCCCCCCCCCCCCCCCACCCCGACTACTTCTAATTATGGAATCTCAGCTAACTACTGCATTTGTACCTATTTTTTCAGCTCTCTCTCCTTCCTCATGAAATTTTTTTCAACTTCTTCCCTTTCAGTCAATTAGATTTCTATTTGATGCCCACCAAGTCACCTCTGGCGGCATCCCCCCCAGCGCATTCATGTCCTTAGAATCTGACCAATCGATTGCTTATTTGTATTTATTCTCTCCACAAGAACGTATTCACCTACTTCCCCACTTGTCGCGCTCCACTAAGTTACTTTAAGTAATATGTCTTTATGCCGCAATCTTTGGATTCAAAAGTTGATGGCAATTCATGTTTTTTTCATACCATACGAATTCATTGCAACATTATAAGATCATTTCTTTTAAAGGCGAATCGTGTCCCCCCCCCCCCCCCTCCAACAGTACAAAGCCAAAATCTCAAAAGTACTTCGCGGATTAAGTGCACTTCATGGTCGTAAAATTCTTGCGAATCACGCATCATTGAATATTAATGAGGTATTCGAAATCACTATTCGTGTAACTGTTGCAATCAAGAACCATGAAGGCGAAGAAAAAAATTCTCTCTTTTTGTATAATTTACTTTCCAAGTAAAGAAGTGCAGCTGGAAGTATTTTCGCGAGTTCGGGTAAAAAGAAGCTGACGGAGCGATTCGTGATCCATTTCAGCACCCACCAAAAGTGCATATAGACAGAGCTCTTAGAGATTGATACTTGACTCAGTCTCTGAACTAATCGTTCTGAAATACTCAAGAGAAGAGTTTGTATTTGTTGTCTTTGAGAATTCGAGTGTCAAAAGGCTTGAATGCAAATGTAAGAGGAATGAAGATGAGTGCATTTCCGAAAATTGAATTTTGTTTTAAATTTCCTCTCCGAATTGTGTGTGTGTGCTTTTTTTCATACAGCCTTTGCTTTCAGCAACGCACAATGACACCTTTTTCTTAAACCTCATTCACTCGTTCTTTATAGAGGGTCAGCTAAGTGAAATGCAGTTTCATATGTAAGAGAGAAATTGGCTAAAAAAACTATAAGTATTTTCAAACACCACTTTATTGGTACATTTGCAAGTTCAGCATAAATTAATTTGAGTAACCCATCAAAAGAGAGTATGACAATTAGCGAATTTAAAGTATTTAAAAGAATAGTAAATGTTCACAGATATGCATAACAATATGCCATTTTATCATGCTTTCAACTCCCAATAAGGATCATATAAGCTGTCGCTCGACACCGAACACTTATAGCTTCTAAGCAGGGGTGTGCGATAGACTTACCTCCACGTGGTGCTCCCTGAGCAGTTGACTTCTCACTTCAAACCCCACTGCGTGTTACATTCAACAACTTTCACAGTACTCATCTTACCTTTTCTCTGCCTTTATGTTTATCTGTCTCTTGCACATCTGTGAATCACTCTTCTGTCCCCCTCCTCTCTACTTTTTATCACTTTGCTGTTCCTTCTTCTCTTTGTGAAGCCCAAAACCAGCTAAAGGGCTAATGATGACTATCAAAACACCTGCCATTTGAAATAAATAAATACATATCACTGCGTTGCCGTATTTATTATTCAAAATGGAATTTTCCTTGAAATAGTAATACACTTCGGGAAGTCCGAAAGAATACCCTTTAGGATTTAGTCATTGCCACAACCTCCAATGATCGTCTTTGGTTCTAACCACTCCCCCAAATCCGTCGAAAGTTTGAAGAGAACGAGATTTAGACAGATTGCGCTAGTGCTTACCCATGATAGGTAGTTACTTCATGTTAACTTATTTTGAAGTCCGAATGTTGGACTCATATCACTCAAAAATCTGAGTCATTGGTCAGGTAGATAACTGTAAGTAGATTGATAATGACTGATGACTGGGACTAAATTTGAAACGAAGACCCAAAAGATTCCATTCAGATTGTATTCTGTCCCGGAATACCCGATCAAGCATCAAACGCGAGATACATCAACAAGCGCCATAGATTATGTCCTCTCTTGTCCGTAATCGAGGTGTATTTACCATAACTATACCAGGATGTCCCTTTAATAGTGACATTTGTTCATTTAAGACAGAGATTAAAAGGATTTTACTTAAATTCAAATTGTAAAACGGGTTAATAAGTTATAAAGGACTATTTGTTCCGACAATGTGTTTCCATGACCTTAGTCATCCCATGTGATTGGTGCTGGATCAGTGTTAATAAGGTAGTTCTGAAGACCACAACGAGTGGGGCGTAGAGGTGGCGGTGAGGTGGGCGAATGGAGATCCGTTCAAAAAGCGCAAGTGCTGCAGTCGTACTTTCAATTTCTCCGCTGCAGAAAATTTACCAAATTTCACCAGGAAAACGGGGTATGGTCAGAAACTGAAACCACATTTAGTTATCTCCATTTAGAAATGCCTAAAATAGAACACCGGAGCCACGTAAAAAATCGATTCGCTGCCTTTTTTCCAAATGCGTGCACAATTTGTATTCTGCTGATGCATTGATTCCCCAACTTAGTCCTTATCTGACTGGTTGAATTAAACTAATCCCATGTATTCAGAATCAATATCCTCAAAATTTCCAAATTTGAAGGCGACAAAAAAAAAAAGCCAAAACTGTAACATTGCAAATCCCCCCCCCCCCACCCCCAGTTTTGGAGACACCTAAGACAACTCCTATTCACCATAATATTGCAGTCAACAGTTATCATGTGAGGTTTGCACGAAAATGAAATGAAAATAAGGTTGCCAATTGATATGATTTGAAAGTATTCTAAGGAAATTGCTGAAAATTAAATCCCTTACACCTCATGAATAAAGTCCACACTTACAATAACCTTCCTATTTCAATATCTTTGCCCATATTCTGTCAGTGTTCAATCAATCTCCAATCTATTCCAAACAAGTGCGGATGTTAGTACTTTGTTTATTGCCTAACTTTTATGAAATTCCAGATTTCGCGAAATAATTCGCATAGTTTGTTTGGCTTAACCGAAATCAGTAGATTTTTATGAGATGGAGAAACAGTGCCAGTGTATTCGAGTTCATGTTGAGTGCATTCAAGCCAACAATTTCATATTAGATTCAGATTGCCTCTGTGGGACACGTTATCGCGTTGTTCGTCATCGTATGCCTGCATGTCTGCTCACCAGGATTGGGAGGTGCGGCCGTACAACTCTATGTGCAGCGACCGTACAAACAGTGACCAATCATTATTATTTATCATTATTATACCAAATGGCAGGCGTTTTGACGGTTATTATTAGCCCTTTAGTTGACATCAGGCTTCACAGAGGGGAGAAGAAACATCAAAGTGAAAACAGAACAGAAGAGTGTTTCAAAGGCGAAGGCAGATAAGGTGGAAAAAGGTGAGGTGGGAACTGTGGAAGTAGTCGAATAATGACATACAGTTGAGTGATGGTAGTTTGAAGTCAGAAGTCAACTGCCAGGTAATAGACTTTTTGCCGTATGAGTATACGTTGTCCAGGGTGCACCACGTGGAGGTAAGTCTATCACACACCCCGTAACCAATCATCAACCTCTGTTTGTTTAACCTAATCCCCCATCCTGATCATGAGTAGCTCCCTGCGTGTACACTTTATCCGCAATACCCGTACTGAATAAACGTGCTCCGTGCTACACGTCTGTTTCCTTTCATAGCTGGGCTATAGCTTAGCCAGTTCTGGGAGTCTAGCTAGATGTTGGGGAATCTGCCATGGAGATTTCTGAGTCAGTCAGGCTTTACTAAGGTAGTAATCCGCTATACCTCTTACCATCGAGTTAATAACTCGCTCCTAAGTCGATATAATCAAATTACTAGAGTGATTCCTTATTTCCTGGGTTCATGAACATGAATTCAGTCAGGAAATGAGAAATAAATCCAAAAAATGTGGACATTGGTGCAGATATAGGATCTGCGAATTCTAAAAAGAAGTGGAAATTGTAGACATCGAGTAGAAGGATCTACTTTGTTTAAATCTTCTCGTTTTACCCATTAATGATTGTATTTAAAAAACTTCCTTATTTCGTATGCCATATTCATTGTTTATGTGTGTCAAAGTTTTGCTTAAGGTAAACCATCGAATTTCTTTCAAAATTTTCGATCAATGCGTATCAGTAAATCATTATCGCCTGAAGACAGGCACTTTGACAAATCAAATGCCAAATAAAATAAGTACCACTGGCCTAGTTGTCTTTAACCCGATTAAATACTTCACCAAGTGGTAGTTTGATTGGTGTGAAGCATAAAGTGAATTCGTGACGACTATTCTTCGGAGCAGAAATCTGGAAGTATTATAAGTTCTGACTGTTCTGCGTGCAAACTTCAACCACATCCACAAACTCACGCCATTTCAAACATTTGTAAAAGTCCAACACTTTTGACCATGTTATCTTACTGCTTTCATAACCAGGGTTTGTGGATCAGATTAACTCCCCAATCTGATTCATTTCCATTTAATAATTGATCCCACCTTCTCAAATTACTGCTTTCTAGTTATCAGGTGGTTGAGACCAGCAGATCAAGAGCCACTGTCTTAAAGCTAAAGAAACTAGTTCCTTTATTGGGTTATAAATGTCCACTGCCTATTTATGTCGCTTTCTGTACACTATACTGCTCAACTTACTTTTAGTAGTAAAAATTCGTGTTTATTACTTCAAGTCTGTATTGGCACGGGGCTTGTTTCTCTTTTGGCCAACCGGTGTTTAGCAGCATCTTATTGGCTAACTCACTTGTGTCTTTATTGGGTCGTGCAAGTTTCAATAAATAAATAGGTAAATAAATAAATACAAAAATAAGATTGAAATCGCTGATAGAAAAGTAGGCAAGGAATTGTTTCTTAGTCTGTGCAGTTCGACTACGCCGTCGCAGTATCACAGTTGGATTTGCGTTGAAGTTGGGCTCGAAGGTTCTTTTTGCTCATTTTGTAGGGATTGGGCAAACCCGCGTGGACAGTGGAGAAATGTCGACCCAAATCCCAGCTCCATTTGTAACAATTATTGCATATCATGCAAGCGAATGGTCTTAGATTCGCATGAACCACAATATGCTTCTGAAGTTCAGTTGGCCACTTGGCACAATAATTGCACCAAGGGCATACGTGACCCTTTCGAACCCCCCCATTCTCTGACTTCCCACCTGATAAATGATCACAGGATTCTGTCCGGGGATGAAATGGTTTGGGATAGGCGGACTCATCTTCTAATTGGTCACATAACATTCGGCGCTGTAATTGCAATAGGATTAGACTTAATGAAAGATACATGAATTAAACTCCTCAGGCATGGAATCTTCCCACGTACTCGGCTATTAGTTTTGCAGCACCGTCGCTGTCTTTTATTAAGGGCAGCTGTCCATTCCTTTTCTAGAAGATCCTTGTGTCTTTGCATGTAGTGCTGATTGAGATCACTCATTTTATTGAATGCTTTAAAACATGCTGCACACACTGACAATCCCTTACAGCCTGATCTTCTGCGTGTCTGTGACATGGGAAAGAGAGCTTCCTTCACCTTCAATGGTAGCGGAGGAGCGTCTTGACCCAGGGGAAGACGTGGTAATGACCATGGACTGGGAGGAAATCCGTTGACTTTCTTTGAGATCTGACTATTCAAAGAAGAAGGCGAATAATATTACAGGAGGATAACACGATCACCCACCTTAGAAACAGAGGTTGTGGTTTTTGATCTCGAATGCAGAGGTTCATAGGAACATCATTGACTTGGTTCTCGGGGAGGGGATTCCCCACCTCATTTTGCCTCTAGATAAGATATAATTAAAGTCTAATTTAATAGGCATACATTGTAAAGAAAATCTCGGATAATATTAGGTGGTGGGATTGGTAGGGGTAGGGCTAATTTAGCTAAAATGGTTGCATAGTTGTTAGCAAGATCCATGAGCTGAGGTAGGTTTTGAAATTTTTGATGCTGTTGGCTAAGATCCATCCTTATCAGCACTGCTCAAATCCATCCCATTTATAGCAGCGTTTCTAGTAAGGTGCTGAGATGTGCTAGTGCGCGTGTTAGCGCCAACCAATGACTGCAAAAGGTGCTTTTCAAGAGGGCGGGGGGGGGGGTTGAGCTTGACGCCGCGGAAGTAGCCAACCTCCAATCGACGCTCCTGCACACACGCATGGAAGGGGCCGTGGGGCGGGGGGAGTTGCCTTAGTGACATGCATGATTAGCATTTTCAAGGCGGAGAAAATGACCTCTAATGAGTTTTAATGATACCACGCTGACAGCAAAGAAGCGGTGGAAATGAAAAGACGAAAGGGTGATTAGCATAGTGTTCGCATGATCACTTCTCGAATAAAAAACTTCATCTGGTATTTAAATTAAGTTCTGCGAAATATTTTAGTGAATTGAGGCGACTTGCTCTCACGTTGTCATGACGCGCAGCTGAATTCATGGCAAGGTGCATTAAAAGATACTGATTCATGCTGTAGTTATTAAGACTATTAAGACTTGGAACTTTCTCATTAATTTCCCGCAATGCGGGATGCACCGGATTAGATTAGCGCATGCTGTCAGAAAAACTTACGGTGCATTTCTGAAAGTACTCATCCAGAGTATTGTTTTGAAGAAAGGGTGAACTGAGCTTTTGATCTCTCTAGACCTCCTCAATAAATGAAATACACGAAGGATGAACCAACTTCAGATGGATTAGGTAGAAAACAAATGGGTTTTAAATTCAACGTCTTACACCTACAGATATTCAAGGCCACTCCGTTTACAAGGAGGTGGACATTGAGTCATAAAGTGGGTTTCTTTTAGTTACAAGTTCAAATTTGAGATGGTTAAATTTTAAAAAGTTCTTTATGGTAATTTTCAGCTATCCAAATAGGGTCCCCAATAGAGTTATTCTTTGTAGCTCACCCAAAATTTCAAAATTGGAATGTTGTCTCACCTGAATTAAAAGGAATCGTGGCGAACTTGTTGACAAGAATTTTACGTCCCGATTTCATCATGCATTCCGGCATCATCAAAAATTTTAACACAATTCTCTTGAAAACCGAAGCAAAAATGAAGAATAGACTGGTCATTAAAAGTAGGGAAACAATTTTCAATAACGGACAAGTACTTTCGGACTTTATTTAATTTTTAATTAAAATTACTTTTAAGTTCCTTTAAATGCTGACTTTTCGCGTAGATAAATCAGCATTGGCTAACATTGTCTGGTAAGTCCCTTTTCTGTTCATTGCATTTTGTCGAGTGAACATGTTGATCATACTTCTGATCAAGGTTAAATTTAAATTGAATTTCGAGGCTTGCCATCAGAATAGTAAAGGAATATTGACATTTGACACAACTCACTGAAACGCCGCGGTTCATATGGAGGGGTATATATTTAATAAATAAGGTTAGTAAGAATGGCCGCAAAATCTCTAAAATGCATGAAAGTTGGTGATGAAACCCAAGAGAAAGTGAAGGAAAATATTGACTTCCTGCAGACAAGAGTGTTTGCCTTTGGCGTGAGCTCAATTGTAGTAACAACGAACCTGGTGTCTTAATTTAGAACGAGTATCGCAATTATCTCTAACTTTACTGGAATGATTGCTGGATTTCTTCTTACATTAATAGCTGATGCCGTATTATTGTTGTTCTGAAGGTCATAGACAATTTTGTAGGGAAAGATTTTTTCCATGTCGGTCGGGCTTCTACGCGTGGTTCGACCGATGTGGAGCAGTGCTAATCGAGGTTCACTCAGTTCATCTTTCATTTTTAAATCAGCTGCCTTTTGTTCCATACTTCTGAATAAGTCTTTATTATTATTACTTTTATCAATACCCCCTAACCGTCCATTATTTTAAAGGTGCGAAGTGGATCCACAAAAGCATAACCTATACAAGGGAAGGCGGACTTAATTCAATCTTGAAATGGGGATAATGAGTTAGGGAGGGGGGGGG